AAAAAAAAAAAAAGTCAATTGAAAGGGCTTTTTTGGTTGTTTTTACCTATTAATGATGAACCATGCAACAGTCAGCATTCCTGCTAGCCAGGTTCCACTCAGAAGCCAGCTCGTAGCAAACAAAGCAGTCACGTAAACTCCTTGTAATCCAAAAACAATGCCAATGTAAAAATAAACTGGTTCAATAATCAACTAGAGGGGAAGGAAAAAGAAAGAAAGAATATTAATAGAAGTATATTAAATTATTTGAAGGATGATAAATATGTGAGGAAATAAATGCTAAGGTCAAAAGAACAACACGCACATTGCTGCCAGTTGCTTGATATAAAACGCTGGCGATGAGTTCAGGATATAGTGACATTTGCTGCACTGCATTTATGGTCTTCAGAGATACAGTTCTGTTATTGTGTGTCAGTTCATAAACACCTAAAGACAGAAAAGTTCTCCAGATTATTTGATTTTCTAAAAATTATGCAAATATTTCAGTCAGAAGTTATAAGGTATTTTATATTATCATCAAGAGAGATCCCAAAAGTGTATGCTGTCTCATTTTCTAATTTTACACTCAGTACAATAAAGAGCAGTATCTAAATTTTGAGATAAATCTTTATACTCAAAGGCTCCGATAGAGACGAGGAAGGTTTTTAGTTCAGAAAAGTGTTATTGAAAATACAAAACAGATAATTATACCTCTTTCAAATGAAGGCGCCTTTAACATATCTTTGTAATAGGAGTAATAAATGGCACTGTCACCCTGAAAGGTGATTTCCCGTTCAAGTTCCTAAAACAAAATGAAATGGCTATTTAAACTCCAACATTTTAACTGTAATTGTCCTTCTTTAACCACTAATAGCTACATTAATGAAGAGTTTGAACCTTTCAATAATCTGGCAAATACTTTGATGAAACACCTAAGGTTTAAAAACAAAAATCATTACAACTGGACCAAAAACAATGTTATGATAAACATAGAGAAAACACTGACGTTGTCAGGGATTTCATTTTACTTGGATCCATAAGCCAAGCTCATGGAAGCATCAGTCAAGCAGTCAAACGACATACTACATTGCGCAAGTCTGCAGTGTAGGACTTCAAGAGTGTCAAAGAACAAAGATGTCGCTTTGAGAACTAAGGTGAACCTGAGCTAAGTCATGGTATCTTCAGCAGCCTCATGTGCTGACAGCTGGACAATAAAGACGACTGTAGAACTGATGCATTTTAATTATCGTATACACTCATGTATAAGCCGAGTTTTTCAGCACATTTTTATGCCGTGTTTGTGGTAAAATTAGGTGCCTTGGCTGACATTCGGGTCAGCTTATACTCGAGTATATACAGTATGCTATTGGTGTAAAATATCGAAAGCATCAAGGACTGCCAGAAAAACAAACAAACCTATCTGCCTTGGAATAAACACATCCAGGATGCTCCTTAGAAGTTAGGATAACAATGATAATAATTTATAAATTATCAAGGGTTCATGGAAGAGAGAGGTTGGGGGAGGGAAGGAAGAGCTGATACCAAGGGCTCAAGTAGAAAGAAAATGTTTTAAAATGATGATGGCAACAAATGTACAAATGTGCTTGACACAATGGATGGATGGATGGATTGTGATAAGAGCTGT